ATTTTCCTTTTGGGATTTTGGGCACACACACACACGTGCCCAGCATGAGTTTTAAGTTGCCGGGTCCAGGACTTGAATCAAGGTCATCTATGTGGAAGTCCAGTGACGTAACCATTATGCCATCTGCTGGTCCCTAAAATTTTTTTTTTTTTTTTTTGGAGAGATTTTCACTGTAGGGCGCGTGTGCTCGCCAGACAGAGAGAGACATAGAGACAGAAAGCGAGAAATCACCCCCTGGGGGGGATGGTCACGCCGCAATCCCTTCTCCTCCATTCTCCTCTCAGGATCTTGGGCACGCACGCACACGTGCCCGGCGTGAGTTTTTAAGCCACTGGGTCCGGGACACGAACCGCGGTCGACTACGTGGGAGCCCAGCGACATAGCCATTACGCTAACCGCTAGTTCCCTAAAATTATATTCTTAACAGAGTCAGTTCTGATAATAGTTACATTTTGAAAGTGGGGTTCACTTGCAGTGCTGTCGTGAAAATCAAATTTTAGAAACTGTCCCTGCCCTTAAAGAGATTTTAAATTCTTAGAGGGGAACAGAATACACACAGATGCTAATAATATAAGCTAGAGGGAAAAAAAGTCAAAAGTATGTAAGGGGATTATGAAAAAGGAATAGATTAATGGAAATCTATGAGGACTTCATGTAAGAGATGATGTTTAAGATCACCCATAAAGGATCCTAGCAAGTGAAATTTGGCATGGGTGGAGGGGTGATTAGAACTAATAGAATGGGGGGACCAGCAGTTAGCATAATGGCTATGTCACTGGACTCCCATATAGTCGACCGCAGTTTGAGCCCTGGACCAGGTGGCTTAAACTCACGCCGGGCGCGTGTCCGTGCAAGTCCAAGAGGAGAATGGAGGAGAAGGGACTGTGGTGTGGCCATCCCCCCAGGGGGTGATTTCTCACTTTCTCTCTCTCTCTCTCTCTCTGTCTGTCTTTTTGGCGAGCGCGCGCGCCCTGTAGCAAAAACCTCTGGAAAAAAAAAAAAAGAACTAATAGAATGGGAACATTCATCCAAGCATTTGGAATCACAAGAGTAAAGTCAGAAATAGAAAAGGGGGCATGTCTAGGGATTATCAAGTGAAGCAGTTTAATTGACATGTATAATACATTGTAGGGACTGCGGAGGGTAAAAAGGAAGGGTGTATTGGGGCAAGGCTACCATGGCTGGAGGGGCCTGCATGAGGCCTGCATGGCTGGAGTATGGCATTTGTCTCAATCTGATAGGAGATACGGAAGGTTTTGGTAGCAGGGAGATGATCTGACCACAGCTGTGATCGGAAGGCAATTAGGAAGTTATGTGAAAGACAATTAGGAAGTTATGTGAAAGGTGAAACGAAGTGGGGAGGAAGAGAGAGAGAGAACAAGAGGTCAAATGATACTTCTACACAAGTTTTGATGACAGTTGTATTTTCTTCTACACAAAAGGCAATCAGGTGTAGAGGGTGCCAGAGCTGAGATAGTGGCTTTGAAGGTGGAGAAAAAGGGTAGATATGCTTAGTGAATTTATGAAAGTCTTTGTTTTTAGGTTTTAGCCCTAGGGCACATGCACTTGCCATAAAGAGACAGAGAGTGAGAGGGAAATTGAGAAATTACCGCCACCCCTTTCCCCGGGTGGATGGCCATACCACAGTTCTGTCTCCTCCATTCTCCTTCTAAGATTTTGTGCACACACACACTTACACACTCAGTGTGATTTTTAAGCTGCCAGGTCCGGGACTTGAACTTCAGTTGACCATGTGAGAGAGAACAGCATCTTAACCACCATGCCGCGTGATGGTCCCATGAAATCCTCCAAAAGAAAAGAACACTCTCTTTTCTTAAATAATTTATTTGCAATAAATTAACAGTTAAATAGCAAGTTATGGTTAAAATGGTTAAAAACTCACAAAACACAGTGATATAAAATCTTTGGTTGATCAATCTAATCTTACTGTACACAAGACAATAATTCAATTTCAGCTAAAGGCATATCAAGTAGATCACTGAATACCATTGAAAAGAGATGAGCATAATGATAAGGTGCATGTTCATTTTTATCCTATAATACTTGGTGACTGAATGAATAAATAAAATTAAATAAATAATTCTTAAACAAACAAACAAACAAACAAAACCACTCTCTGGACCAGTTTTCCCCTCTGGAAAATAAGGGTGTGGAAATAGCTATACAAATGATTTTTTACATATTAACCAATAGACTTACTTATACCTGGTTTCTGGACGTTTCCAGTGGTGCTCATAGTAGAACACTTCCCTTTGTTCAAATAACACAGTTGCATAGGCTTTGTAATCTAAATAAATATTTCTGTTGTGCTCTAGTGATCCATAACAGATGTACCATGTGGTGAACTACAATGCATTTGAACCATAAATTTCTACTACTGCAATCAGCAACCCTTAGTAGAGGACACCAAAGACGACTCTGGAGTGATTTTTGAATTAGCTTCCAGTCTCAAGGATACCTTGTCAAAGTTTCAGTCCATATGTGATTAAAATTCTTTCTGACAGTCCCTTTAACCTAATACAACTTGATATTCAAAAATCCAAGCAGAACAAAAAAAGTTTAAGTGGTAAATTACATAAAGTTTTTTGTTTTTGTTTTTCTGAGGATGACCATGCCACAATCCCTTCTCTTCCATTCTCCTTTCTGGGTTTGGGGCATGCATGCCCATGTGTCTAGCATGATTTTGAAGCCTCCCGGTCCAGGACTTGAACTGCAGTCGGCCATGTGGAAGTCCCGCGACATAACCATTATGCTATCTGCTGGTTCCCATAAAGTAGTATTTTAGAGGTTTATTCATCTAGCAAAGGATTTCCTGCAGTGTTTCTCTAATGAATTATCTTTTAATGATAACTCAGTCTCCTCACAACTTTTCAGGAGCACTCTGTTACATTTTAGCGGGAAGGCCCTCTTTGTGCCCTTTCTCTTTGTGCACACTGACTGCATTCCAACAGCAGAAAAGGATGCTCGTTCTGGCTAGAACACCAAAATTCTACTTCAAGCAGAGGCAGTCTGTGCTTTGCTTGGCAACATGCTAAGATGAAGCAAATTAAATAAATAAATAAAAGTCAAAAGTGTTATGTTGACTTAAAGCCAGATAAGAGAATAAGTAATGTTATTCGGAGGACAACTGTCATCAAAACTTCAAAATGTACTCTCACCTGGCAATTCTGGGGCAGGCTCAAGCCCATGTAAGCTCATGAGAAAGAAATGTGCATTTGGGAAAAATCCCTTGAGGTCCATTCAGTATTTCCATGGACTATGCTAGGTCTATAGGGATGTGTGCTGGCTACAGTTTAAATGAATGACCATAAGGAAAATCTCTTGGTTCAGATAAACGCATCGTGTTATAAGTGGGAATGTTGTATAGAGTTTAAGAACATAATAGCCTTGAATTTTGGAATGAGATTGTGAGAGATTCTCAGTTTTCTTCTGATCAGCAAATCAAGGAAACTCATTTTAATCGTTCATAAATAAAATACCTTCTTCTGAGAGTGGCAGAAAGTATAAATTCCCCTTTTGTGTATACAATGGAAATTCCTAACATCAAGTATGTTGATTCTTTACCTGTGGTTCAGAAGGATTTAAGACTTTGGGAAAATAAAATGTCTCAAAGATAATCAAATGACATTTTGTATTCTGGGCTTAACTATGGCATTTATGTCTGAATCCTAACACTCTCCATTAAATGAATCATTAAATAATATTTGGATTTTCATAATTATAATTCACTTCTACAGGTCTCCAATCAGCTAGAGTTCAGGCTGAGTTAAACATTTTAATGCCTGACAGGTGAAACTAAGGGGTTGGCTAACTTAGCTAACACAATTATGGAAACTATGACCTCTAACTCATAAATTAGCAAGTCCTTCTCTCTCACAGGTATAACCCACTGTTTGGTTTTAGAAATAACATAAGTGGCTCAATACAAGTAACCCCTCCCATTTCTGTGGGGTGTAAGCGTCCAGGACTCTTCAGTGTATACCTGCTGCATTCCTGTAATACTCATATCTTGGGACAGTCTTTTCTTCAGAGATTTTCCACAAGTCTCCAGGTTGGTTTCTACAGAAGTTGTCCTTTCTTTCAACAATCTTAAAGTTTATATTGTTCACCCTTGATCGTCTATGTCTCTCTCTCTCTATTTATTTATTTATTTTTTTGTGAGAGAGATTTGATTAGGGTGCGTGAGCTCGCTGGAGAGTCAGAGAGAGACAGAGAAACAGAAAGTGATAAGTTACCTGCCCCTGCCCAGGGCAGATGGCCATGCCGCAATCCGTTCTCCTCCAGATTTCTCCTGGGGTTTTGGGCACACATGCAATGCACCCAGTGTGAGCAGGATCCGGGACTTGAACTGCTGTCAACTATGTGGGAGTCCAGTGATGTAGCCATTATGTCATCTGCTGACCTCTATGTCGCATTTTATTTTATTTTTTATTTTTTTGGAGAGCTTTTTGCTATAGCATGCGTGTACTCACCAGAAAGAGAGAGATAGACAGACAGAAAGTGAGAAATCACTCCTCGGGGGGAGGGCCACGCCACAATCCCTTCTCCTCCATTCTCCTCTCGGGATCTTGGGCACGCACACACAAGCCCGGCGTGAGTTTAAGCCACTGGGTCTGGAACTCGAACCGTGGCTGACTACATGGGAGTCCAGTGACATAGCCATTACGCCAATTGTTGGTCCCATATGTCGCATTTTTTAAAAACTTTAAAATATGTTCTGAGGAAACCATATTCTTTCCTTTTTTCTTTCTTTCTTTCTTTCTTTCTTTCTTTCTTTCTTTCTTTCTTTCTTTCTTTCTTTCTTTCTTTTTCTTTCTTTCTCTTTTGTCACAAAGGGTGTGGGGAGGAGGGAGGGAGAAAGCACCCCCCCCATGGGAAATGGTCACACTGCTGTCCTTCTTCTCCATCTTTCCCTCCTGTCAAGATTTTGGGCACTCACACACACGCACTCAGCATATTTCTCAAGCTGTGGGTCCAGGAGCTGAACGGTGCAGTCAGCCATGGGGGATCCAGCTGCCTTGACCACCACACCATCAGCTGGCCTGAGGAAGCTTATTCTGATTCATTCGTCTGAGATGCATTATGAGAAATCTCTTTTCTTCTAACTGAAGATATTGAGTGAAACAGTGATTTTCAAATTTCTTGTCAACCTACAATTTTTTTTCCTCAAAAGTCTTATGTAGAATCTGCATTTATAGAACAGAGGCAGGCTGTTCTCCTGACACACCTGGGGATGGTGAACTCCAAAGTGGCTCCCCTTCAGCTCCCTGCAGCTATTGGGAAGCCGGCTCCTGTGAAGCTTAAATTCAGGCTCACAAATTATTCATCAAGTTGACTCGAACATGCAAAATGTTGTAGGCATCCAGTGACTGCTGAGTGAGAGCTACTCTGGGCTATGACAGTCAGGACCACTCTAGGGAATGTGATGGCTTGGGCCAGGAGATGGAATTGGGTAGTCATCAAGTAGAGTCCTGTCCTCCAGGCCCGGCAGGTGAGGTCCTTGGGGGAAGAGCCCCAGAATGTTTCCCTGAGCAGTCACTCCTGTTTGCTGCAGGCTTTGCTCCCCCAAGATCTTGACCAAGAAGTTGATATACCTCATTGCCAGGCGAAGAGTTTCATTTTTGCTCAGCTTCTTGTCTGGAGGGTGAGTAGGGATGAGCTTCCGCAGCTTGGCAAAGGCACTGTTGACATTCTGCTGCCTCCAGCGCTCCCTGGTATTGGTGAAGATCTTCCTGGTCATGTCTGAGTTCCTGAGATGGAAAAGAGAAAGGGCCCAGAGGGCCAATATCTTGTAAGAGGTTTGGTTGGTATCACATGTCCTCCCAAGAACCTGTGATGTTAGCTATTTATTACTCAGATTTTACAAAATTCATTTCTTCATTTTCAGATTTTTTTGAATCTTCCTTTTTGTATGAGAAGAAAGTTAAGACTAATGCTCTTCAGCCTTTTTCTCCATGGTTATTTTGAAGCTGCCAGTTAAAAGGTTGCTTTATGGGGCCAGTAGATGGTGTGGTAGTTAAGGTGCTGGACTCCCACATGGTGAACTGTGGTTCAAGTCTTGGACCCGGGCTTGAAAATCCAGGCATGTGTGCATGCATACCCAAAACCCCAAGAGTAGAACTGAGAAGGGACTGCAGCATGGCCATCCCCCATGGGGAGTGATTTCTCACTTTCCTTCTCTCTGTCTCCTCTTTCTCTCCAGCAAATGCATGTGCCCTATGGGAAAAAAAAAAAAAAAAAAAAACTGCTTTATCCCAATTACCCCACTAGTTGCTTTACAATCAACACTTCCTAACTTTTCAGAATCAGATCCAGTGTAAGCTGATATATGTGTTAATAAAATATACTTACCAATAGGGAGATATAAATCAACAATGCGGAGCCAGCAGGTAGTGTGGTGGTTAAGGGCGCTGGACTCCTACATGGTCAACCATGGTTCAAGTCCTGGACCTGGTGGTTTGCTTTCACACTTCTCTCTCTCTCTCTCTCTCTCTCTCTCTCACTCACTCACTCTCTCACTCTATGCCTCTCTGGTAAATTTTTTCAAAATAAAGTTAAATAAAATAATTATTTAAAAAAATGCATTACTGATTCTTTTTTAAAAACTTCTCTACTGCTTTTAAGATAAAGATCAGCATCTTTTTTTAAAAAAATTATCTATTTATTTATTGTGATTTTCTTTTCTTTTCTTTTTTAAAAATATTTTATTGGGAACCAGCAGTTGGCATAATGGTTATGTCGCTGGACTCCCACGTAGTTGACCGCGGTTCGCATCCTGGACCTGGTGGCTTAAAACTCACGCCGGGCACGTGTGTGTGAGAGCCCAAGATCCCAGGAGGAGAATGGAGGAGAAGGGATTGTGGCGTGACCATCCCCCCTGGGGGGGTGATTTCTTGCTTTCTGTCTCTATGTCTCTCTCTGTCTGTCTGGTGAGTGCACACGCCCTATAGCGAAAAAAAACTCTCAAAAAAATTATTTTATTTAAGTTTGTTTGTTTGTTGTTTGTTTGTTTGTTTAAATTTGACCAATGGGGGGAGAGAGAGAGAGAGAGATAAAGTGAGAAAGCAAGCCAACAGGTCCAGGACTTGAACCATGGTTGGCTATGTGGGAGTCCAGCACCCTTAACCACCATGCCACCTGCCGATCCCTATTTGTTATGATTTTCAAGCCAACGGCTCTGGGACTCAAACTGTAGTTGACCATGTGGGAATTGAGCACTTTTATCACCACGCCACCTGCTGGCCTGCATTATGGATTATTAAAAAGAATTTTAAAAAGCGATGATCCTAGGTTTAATTAATAAAACGGTATTTGGGATGAAGTAGATAGAATATTCACCTAGCAGGCAGACTTCACCTGGAAAAATTGGGACCCACTCTATAAGAACTGAAATATCTATCCTGGACCATATACAGAGAAAGATGAACGGTGTGATTAAAGGTCTTGAAACTTTGTTGTTCAATAAACAGAAGGAGAGATATTTAACCTGACAAAAATAAAACAATTGGCAGGTGGGAGTGATCATTTGATAGTGATTCTTTCTGGGAAGACAATGGGTAAGGGAAAATAGGTTTTTTATTTTATACTTTGGAATTGTTTTACATTTTTATGAGAAATTATTCATGTAATATTTGCTTCATAGTAGAAAAAAGAAGTAAGAATGTTTATGGGCTTTAAATAAAAAATACTAGGTTTTGCTCTAAATGGAGATAGGGTGGAGTTGCAGGCCCTGACTTGTCCCCAGACTGCCACACAGGTGGGGCAAAGAGGAAGCCCTTTAAGCTCCTAGGAATTTGAGATGTCAAAAACACTCTGGGGACCAACAATTAGCGTAATGGTTATGTGGCTGAACTCCCATGTGGTCAACCACAGTTCGAGTCCCGGACCCGGTGGCTTAAACTCATGCCAGGCGCGTGTGCATGCATGCCCAAGATCCTGAGAGGAGAATGGAGGAGAAGGGATTGCAGTGTGGTCATCCCCCCCCGGGGGGGGGGTGATTTCTCGCTTTCTGTCTCTCTGTCTCTCTCTGTCTTTCTGGCGAGCGCAAGCACCCTCTAGCAAAACCTCTCCAAAATAAGAAAAAAAGAAAACACTCTCTGTGCACAGGATTCAATATTACATGTATCATTAGAATCTGTTTTGGCTGGCCTTGGACATTTCTTGTAACTAAGAGAATTAGAAGATCATGTGATGTTGGAGTAGGAGGATTTATCTTAGTGACTTTAGGATGCTGGTTCCACTGTAGGAAAGTAAACTATGCAAAGTAAAGAATCGAGGAAAGAATTGCCAGAGAAGGAATTAAAAATATGATACTACATAAAAGCACCCACCTTGATCCTGAAAGAAAGCCAAGCAAGGGCAACAGCGATAGTTAGGCGATCTTGAGCACAGGGACCCACGCACAACTCCCTGCAACCAGTGTGAACAAAGCTGGGATCAACTACATAAGACATTTTGTGTACAGTAAGAAAGCTCTCAATCAAGGAAATAATACTTAAAAAAAAAAAAACACACACACACACAAAAACTAAGTTTTGAGTCTGCACACCACAATTCCTTGTTATATCACTCTGAGAAAAATCAGTTAACTTTTTACATTTTTTAAAGATTCTTGCCATAGTGTGCACGTGCACTCGCAGGAGAGAAACTGAAAGAAGCAGTGAGAAGGTAAGTGAGAAATCACTGCCCTGGGGTCATGGGCACACCACAATCCCTCCTTCTCCATTCTCTTCTTGGAATTTCAGGAATGCATGCACACATTTTGGTATGATTTGTAAGCTGCCAGATCTGAGACTCAAACTGTGGTCAGCTCAGTGAGAGTCCAGTACCTTAACCACCACACCACCTGCTGGCTCCAGTTAACTTTTTTTCTTTTTAAGAATTATTAATTTAATTTTATTTGTTTTATTATTTTTTAATTTGACCAACGAGAGAGAGAAAAAGGGATAATGAGAAAGCAAGCTCTCAGGTCTAGGACTTGAACTGCAGTCAGCCAAGTGGGAGTCCAGCACCTTAACTCACCACACCACCCACTGGTCCCAGTTAACTTAAGCTTGGGTTTTGCTATCTAGAAAATGAAGTTTTAAAGCCAGTAACAGGGTTTGTGTGTTAATTAAATGAGATGCAATAGAAAGTGCCTGGCACACATGTGAAACTAAATGTGTGTTTTCTTCTGTATAAAGATGGGAGGCGTAGGCACGCTGAAGAACAGCATCGTTCAATCATCTGTATGTCACCAGGACATTGTCCCATCCAAGTTCTCGTTGCCTTCCTTGCTTCGGTCTACATTGGAGAGTCTAGCGCTGTGCTGAGAACCAGCGGTGAGCTGGAAGTGTGGCAGCCCAAGGTCACTGCATGACTTTCAGCTCCCTCCACCAGACACTTAGGTCCACTCTCTCTGTGGAGACACTTCTAGTTGGACTCATGGTCCAGTGACAATGAGATGTTTTCCAAGCTTTGGTTCCCACAAGGCTGATACTAAATGTCAAATGTGCTCTGGCTTCTGGGTACTAAGGGGCTGGCTATTTCTGTTGACATAGGTGAGGTAAGCCCAGGGACAGAAGGAACAGTAGGAACAGAAGATCAACACCTAACCGGGCATGGTAGGGGGGGGCTTCCAGGCAAGACATTCCTTTCCAAAACTGATGGGGATGGGCCAGATGACTCCTAAGGCCTCCTTCTGCTCTGAAATGCCTGAATGTCCTGCCTGTTGCCTTTTATCTCATCTAAATTATTTCTGAATAACCTGGCCATTGGTTCTGCAATGAAAATATGAGTGTTGTCAGAACTACACCCAGCTCTACCTAAAATATGAAAGTCTGAACCTAAGTAAAGGGGACTGTAAGATAGAAAAAAAGATCAAGTTTTGTTCACACTGATGTTGGCCAGGACTATGGGAGCAAAGTTACTTTCAAGCTTCTCTTAATCAAAAGAGGGCTCGCTTATTCACCAAGTCAACTCCATCCAATGGGGGGTCTTTTTCAAGCTGGGAGGAAAAAAGATTAAGCAGAATAAACTAACTGAGGTGTTCTGGTCTAAGAGAGAGCGCTCCAGCCTATTGTACTAGACTTAGGCAGAAGAAAGAGAGAAGACTGGCTTCTGAAATGAAGCTTGCCATCCTAGGAGGTGCTAATGATTACCTGTTGATTTCTCAAGAGTGTTACTTTCCTGCTCCACTGGGGGGAATAGAAATCAGTGATTTAACAAACTGAAGGCTCAAAGCAGAGGTCACTGGAAAATTACTGAAGTACTTTTTAAATCAAAAGGAAATTGCATTTAGTGTTTTTTTCATTTGCAAGGATGGATCGCTATTAATCTCAATTTTGGAGTAATGTAAGAGCTTAAAAAAAATATATGGCAGATGTCACAGAATCAGAAGATCTTTGATAGATGTCAAAACAGGACTGAAGCACTGAGATCGCACAGGGAGTCAGGGCCTGAGACCCATCTCAAGACTGGGTGTTTACACATTTATGTCACTTTTGAGGACTCCTGTTGGGTCAGGGTTCACAACCTTTTCAAGGGATGGATTCCTTCTCAGAAGGATGATTGTAAATACATGAAGTAAGAAGCCTTTGGTTCCCGTCTCAGAATAATACTTTTAAAATGCAAAAATTAAAATACATGGACATAGAAAATTAGCAATTATACTTAGTAGTTATTAAAATGTTAAAAATGCAATTTAGTAATACACGCATTTCATTTGTAACACATTAAGTAACTAGACTTATTATCATAATTTCTAAGTGATATGTAAATTATTTACAAAAGATTTGCAACATCTGCCAATGTAAGATACAAGTGTCTGTGACTTCTCTTGGTGCCAAACTCACCACGTCTATGTACTACTGTAGTTTATTACTCACATTCATAATCCAAACACTACATTTAGATTAAAGGCTACTGGAAGTAATTAATTTTTCCCTATTCAAATTCATAGAGCCTCAAGTTTATCTACGTAGTCGTGACTCTCCAGGTTAAGAATGCCTGGGCTGGGGGCCGGCAAGTGGCATGGTAGTTAAAGGTGCTGAACTCCCACATGGCCGACCACGGTTCAAGTCTCGGACCTGGTGGCTTGCTTTCTCACTTCCTCCCTTTCTCTGTCTCTCTCTGATCAAACTGGAAAATAATAATGATAATAATAATAAATAAAGTTAAAATAAAATAATTTTAAAAAAAAGAATGCCTGGGCTGGAAAAAGTCATGGTAAATGCAGTAGAAATTTAGATGTATACAACTTCTCTATGTTGTCATCACTGAAGGTAACACATTAGCAGAGAAGAGAATGATAATTATGCACCTGGAAAAGGGAACCAGTGCCCACGACGGGAGCCGCTGCTCTTCGGTGCCATGGGTACTTGGACACAAAGCTCAGGTCAGCTAGAAAGGACATAGCACAGAGGCTTCCAGCTGCCATTCCCACAGGGGCCCGTCCCAGGCATTCAGACTCAGACAGCGCTTTACATAGGGCTTTTCGTTTTGCACAGGGCTTTAAATTTTTCTTGCTGGCATTTGGTCCTGTACATGTGTCTTTTCTTTCATCTTGAAAATAAGTGAAAACACTCCCCAGAAATAGGTTTATATAGTTACTTTGGGGGAAAGTACCTAACATCCCACACTAGGCACAGCTCCGCCTTTCAAAATCATTCTACAAATAACAATTGCTCATTTGAGGTGCAAAAAAAATCACTCCGTACTCAAGTGCAGAGAGCAAAATATAAAAGGCCCCAAGTCTGTCTGAACACCTACTCAGTCTCACTCTCAAGCACAGCCAGTTTGCTGTGTATATATACACACACATATACATATAATTCACAAGTATATACATACAAAAACATGATCCTTTAAAAATCAGTCTACATACTATTATGCAAGTTATTTTTTTCTCATTTACACAACTCTGCATGTTGATATATTAAATCAAGACTGCCTGTGAACACCAGCTCTTTGGGAAGACCCTCTAAGGTAGTAAGGGTCTCCAGACTCTGTCAGGCTCTTAGGGAGACACCTGTTTCTCAGGTGTGCTCATCAGACTGCCTCACAGCCCAGATGCACCTGGAAAACTCGCCTCATCCTACCCAACCTGCTCCACTTCTCGGCTTTTCCCTTTTTCTAGCTTTTGCTCCTCCTTGCAAAGCCCTGACCTGCCTAGTGCACAAATATTTCAGGAATCCTGGGAAGCATTTCCTGGCTGAAGTTTCGCGTCTGCCAAGTGTCCAAGAGTCGCTCACGGACAGACCGAATAGTCGCTGGGACCAAGCGGCCCAGCCAACTCGCTAGGGAACCGCCGGGCTCCTAGGGTGACGCGCCTCCGCCCCTGCCTCGCGAAAAGTCCCCAGGTCTTCCCAGCGAGTCGCCTAAGTGGCTGCTAACAAGTCGCCTCCATCCTGCTGCCCTCCAGGGCTAGTGTGGCCCAGACTCGGGGAGGGGAGGACTAAATGAGAGACCCTGGGCTCACAAGGCCGGCCCAGGTGGCGCCCGCGCCCCCCCTGAAGTCAACGCACCTCCTTGCCTAGAGCCGGGAGCTCGCGCTGTGGCTGTGGCTGTCGCGGTCGCCGGCCGTGTGCGCCCTCGCCTGGACGCAGCGCCTCCGTTGCGGCATTTATAGGACACCACCCTTTGTCTCGCGGGTCCTGGGCCCCTTCCCGCCCGTGACTCCCGCTGCTTCCTCCCCATTCCCTGAGTCCTGGCTTTCTGGGACCAGCCCTCCCTCGTGCAGAGAAGAGGGGAGGAAGGAGAACTTCGCCTTGTGTATGGCTGGGGGTGAGAGAGGGTCTTTGCACCCACCTAGGCTGGAGGTGCCTCACCAACCCCTTACTCAACACAGACAAACTTGGGACAATTAACCAGTCGTTAATTGACCAGGTGTTTGTTCAAGCCCAGTGAGTCTCCAACTGTGGTCCAAGAACCACTTGTTTCAGAATCAATTGGCGAGGCTCCCAGCGTCACAACCCAGACCCACTAAATGGGGACTTGGGGGGCTGAGATCTAAAACTCTACATTTTTACCAAGTACTCCAGGAGCTTAAAATGCACAGCAAAGTCTGTCAATCTCTGCGCTGGCCTAAATCTCCAGTTTATTCATCTCAGTTTCTGTAGTGCCCAGCACAGGGCTTGGCTATTTCAGTAATGGAGGGGCCTCCTGATCGCTCTTATTTCCGGAATTACTTCCCTGTACCTTTCTTGTCACTTCTTTGCTCAAAACTTGTCTGTGGAGGGAATCAGCAGTTAGCATAATGGCTATGTCGCTGAACTTCCACGTAGTCGACTGCGGTTCGCGTCCCGGACCCGGTGGCTTAAAACTCACGCCCAGCACGTGTGCCTGCATGCCCAAGATCCCGAGAGGAGAATGGAGGAGAAGGGATTGCGGCGGGACCATCCCCCCTGGGGGTGATTTCTCGCTTTCTGTCTCTATGTCTCTCTCTGTCTGTCTGGCCAGTGCATGCACCCTATAGTGAAAAATCTCTCCAAAAGAAAGAAAGAGAGAGCCTATGAGGAGCCAGGCCTTGTTCTAGGAACTGGGGACCCAACTGTAAATAAAACAGATACCAATCTCCACCATTAAGGAGCTTGCATTCTTCGGATCTTTCCTCAGATATCACCTGCACAGTGAGGAGCCTCTGAACACAGTGTTTAATATTGTACCTTCACAGACTCTTCGTCCTTCTCTCTGCCTATTTTTCCCCTTAGCACTCATCCCCATTTAGTTATACTTCTTTATCTTGTCTCTTTTCCATTCCCCCCCGCCCGCCCCCAGAGAACAGGTGTTCATCAAATGGTAGTTGATTAATGAATAAATAAGTAATGAATTTCTAGGCATCACTCTCTATAGGACCTGGTGTAGGATTTAGTACAATAGACTCACAGATATGTCACAGTTTAGTGGACATATTGCATTAACCAGGTGTTTGTCTGATCCTAGGCAAATTATACGGCTTCTCTCTGCCTCAGTTTCCTCATCTGCAAAAATGAGGAAAATAATAAGATTGTGAAGATTAAATGAGGAAAAAAAAAAAAAAAACAGGTAAAACATTTAGCGCAGGGGCCAGCAGGTGGTGTAGTGATTAAGGGCGCTGGACTCCCACATGGCTGACTGAGGTCTGAGTCCCGGCCCCGGTGGCTTGCTTTCTCACGTTCCCTCCCTATCCTTCTCTCTCTGCCCCTCTCTGTTCAAATTAAAATAAATTTAAGAGACTAAATAAAATAATTCTTTAAAAAAAAAATGATCAGGTACTTGTGCACGTGTGCCCAAGACCCAGAGAGGAGAATGGAGAAGAGACTGCGGCATGGCCATGCCCCCTCTGTCTCTCTCTTTTTGGTGAGCGCATGCACCATTATAGCAAAAACCTTGTCCCCACCCCCCCAAAAAAAAACCCAACATTTAGCACTATGCCTGACAGTATAAGATATTGTAAATGTTATTGTAATGGAGTGTATATTGTTAGAACTACTGGCTTTCTCCCCCATGGGAGGATAATATAGCCCCACTACTGCCATGTGACTGGTAGTGCCGCCCTGTAGGTGAAAGGAATACACTTCCAGACTTGGCCATGTGACTTACATCAGCCAATGGAATATAAGCAGACCTGATGTAGGCCAGGATGGAACAGAAGCTTCAAGAGTAATTGCTGGTTGGGACAACAGGTGGTGTTGAGGTTAAGGTGACTGGTTCCCACATGGCTGACTTCACAGTTTGAGTCCCAGGCCCAGCAACTTGAAAAACATGCTGGTTGTATGTGTGTGCATGCCCAAAATTCTGAGAGGAAAATGGAGGAGAATGGCTTGTGGCGTGGCAATCACCCCATGGAGGGTGATTTTTCACTCTCCCTCTCTCTCTAGCAAGTGTATGTGTCTTACAGCAATTTAAAAGAAAAGAGTAACTGCTGGTTAGGATTAGCTGTAAGAAAGTCAATGAATGACTTTCAAGATGTTTATAAAGATGTTTACAAAGATGTACAATGAATATAGGTAAGCCAGAAATCACAATTTAAAAAAATAAATAAGTGAGAAAAAGAAAGTCAGGCTCAGCATAGCTCTTGCAGCCTAGATGTCATGGAGCAAACCCATAGCCAACTATAGCCCTTGTAAGGGAAAAATAATTTTTTTCGTGTTATAAACCATCAAGACTTTGGAGTTGCTTGTCACATTCCCACTTTCCTCATCCTCCACCAAAACATATTAACTTGTTGTAGGAGCATTTAAACAAAAGCACAGGGGTCCCAGATATCCAGAGTGTAGTCTAGAAGTTGGGACATGGGTGCTGGGTGGGCACTGGGGGAGGGCCAGGACATGGTCCCAAGGCAGCAGCCCCAGGTGATTGGGTACCTGGGTGGAAGGGTAAGAGAGGCTAGGTAGAAATGACAGATGTAACAGTGGCAGGAAGGGCAGTCCAAGTCAAGGCAACTGTGTGGTTTGAACATGAGAGTACCAAGTTTGGCTGTGGGTTACAAGGCTGATTTTGATGGCAGGACTAACTGGAAGGTGAATTGGAGAAAATTCATTAGTTAATTTGTGCACAGGCAGGACTCAGCAGGTGGTGTTGTCATTAAGGTGCTGGACTCCCATGGCCTACTATGGTTTGAGTCCCGGATCTAGTAGCTTGAAAATCATGCCAGGTATGTGTGCGTGCATGAATGTCGGAAAATCTAAGAAGAAAATAGAGGAGAATAAATTGAAGAGGGCATGCCCATCTCCACTGGTGGGTGATATTTCTTTCCCTCTCTCTGTTGCTCTCTGATAAGTGCATGTGCTCTATGGCAAAAACCTAAAACATAAATAAATATTTTTTTTAAAAATTAAAAAATTGGGGGACCAGCAGGTGGCATGGTAGTTAAGGTGCTGGACACTCCGACATGACTAGCCATGGTTTGAGTTCCAAACCTGGAGGCTTGCTTTCTTACTCTCTCTCTCTTTCTCTCTCTGGTCAAATTAAAATAAATGAATGAGTAAATAAAATGAAAAAAGTAAAATAATTTTTTAAATTAAAAAATTGTTGCGTATACACAAAAGAGAGCTTTAAAAACACAACCTTTTTTTTCTTTAAGAGATTTTTTTGTCTCAGGGTACATGCACTCACCAGAGAGAGAGAGAGAGAAAGAGAGAGAGAGAGAGAGACGATGAGAGGTTTCTCCTCCGGGGATCTTGGGCACACATGCACATGTGCCTGGCATGATTTTCCTTCTTTTTTTTGTTTTAATAATTATTTTATTTAACTTTATTTTATTTTTATTTGACGGGGGGGAAGGGCGTGGAGAGAGAAAGTAAGATGCCAGGTCCAGGACTTGAACTGCAGTCAGCCATATGGGAGTCCAGCACCTTTAACCACCACACCACCTGCTGGCCCCATGCCTGGCATGACTTTCAAGCCACAGGTCTGGGACTTGAACTTTGGCTGGCCATATGGGAGTCCAGTGACATAACCACTATACCATCTGCTGGCCCCTAAAAGCATAACCTAATATGCGAAGTAAACACCTCCAATTTGCTCCTCTTTCTGCTCTTCTGTTCTCTGTGTGCACAGAGGAAGGGGGCTCGCTGTCTCAGGGTGAGCCTGCCCTATTATATCACAGTTCTGATAGAGGGCACGTTAGATTTCAGACCAAGAATGTGTATTACTTACCTTCATCTTAGCTGGAAGAAAACTGCGAGGTGATGTCATTTTTCTTAATGGCACATGTTACAGTTGTGAAAAAGAACTGTGGCAACTGGGTAGTGAGATCAGAAAAATGTGATGCTGGAGAACCAGCAGTTAGCGTAATGGCTATGTCTCTGGACTCCCACGTAGTCGACCGCGGTTCGCATCCTGGACCTGGTGGCTTAAAACTCACACCGGGCACATGTGCGTGCGTGCCCAAGATCCCGAGAGGAGAATGGAGGAGAAGGGATTGCAGCGTGACCATCCCCCCTGGGGAGTGATTTCCCACTTTCTGTCTCTCTGTCTCTGTCTGTCTGGTGAGCGCACGCGCCCTATAGCAAAAACCTCTCCAAAAAAAAAAGAAAAGAAAAGTGTGATGCTGTGACCAGCAGATGGCGGAATGGTTACATCACTGGACTCTCATGTGGTCGACCGCAGTTCAAGTCCCAGACCTGGCAGCTTAAAACTCATGCCAGGTACATGTCCATACATGCCCAAAATCCCAAGGGGAGGATGGAGGGGAAGGGTTTGTGGTGTGGCCATACCCCTGGGGGGGGGATTTCTCATTTTCTGTCTCTGTCTCTCAGATGAGTGCAAGAGCCCTATAGCAAAAAATCTCTTTAAAAAAGAAATGTCTGATGCTAAATGAAACAAGCTGTAAAATAAGATCTGTATAAAAGGACCTGTGTACAGAGAGGAAAGGAAAAGGCAGAGAAAGGAGCACAACCGTGTTGGCAGCCTGGAAGCAGAGTTCACATTGCTTTCTTCCCCAAACTCTCTTAAATGTTGGTTTTATTCTTTTAGAAATGGGAGAAGCCCTTTCAGTGTACCATTCCACTAGCTGTGATCCTTCAGATGACAGTCCTTTGCTCAAGCCAGTCTCCCAGGGCAGAGAGTTTAGGGGCTCCGTCCTGCAAGGGAAAGGGTTGAAGTAG